TGCGACGAAATTATATGATTAGGTACGGATCCACGTTCATGGGAAGGTTTGAAATGAATCCTGTGCACGTTCGTGCGTTCGACACGTGGATCCGTACCTGCCATGCATTTCGTCACAAAAACTTCCGGTCCCGTCCCACTGGTCCATGGTCCGTGGAAGATTCCTTGATCGATGGAAGTAAGGAAAAGCACCTCAACTGGCTCTTGAATCCGATCATCCGATTGTCCATCGGTCAAAATCACCAGAACATTTTCGGCATCCGGACGATCTCCCTGGAATGAATAATAAATTTTTTTCCGAACTTTCTTTTCGTTATAATTTTGGGACGTCGGCTGAGTGGCCTTTTACACAAAAATTATTGGGAAAAATTCCTGTGATCTCAAATAGAAAATTGATGTTCATAGGCAATTGCGTATTTATATGCGATACATTGTCACATAGGAGACTTTTTTCGAAACATCTATATCTGTGAGATTTTGGGAAATTCTTAGGTGGACGTATAATTATGGGACGCAGTGTATGTTTTATCCAAACTAAGTCTGAAACATCGGAAACAATGAGTAGAAAAAAAAACATAGTCTCCTAAAATACTCACCCGATTCTTCGTAAAAGCAAATCGAGACACTTTTTCAACGGCTTTGCCCAGCATACTGCCGCCCTGAATAAAAGAAGATCGTATCATTTTTGGATGAAAAATTTTACGTGCACATTCATACCTACAATTTAGTTCCTTATACTAAGATCCATTTTTTCCAGTAATTACTTTAATTTACTCCGAAAAACAGAGATTGCGGAGGGAATCCCCGGAGTGCTTGGACCATTCGCTATTACTTTTACACCCCCTTCCCACCCCCCTCTGCTCAACAGAGCTTACCACACCAAAAAATTGGATTATCTCACTGCCTTATGAATAACTTGTCGCAGCACACGCCCGTCATTCAAGGACCAAGGTGTGCGAGGGCAGTGATGTCCAAGCAGCTCTGTTGTACACTAACACTTCCTGCACTATCCATGAGTACATATTCAACACTGTAGCAATGAGGAAATCAGCTGGGCTGGAAATGACTTCCCCAAACCTGAGGTATGATTTAGTCATTGCCCTGCCTTCCATCTAATCTGTGTTCCGCAGATTTTACGTCAGTGAATAAAGACTATTTTCGTTTGTCAAATACTATAGAAATTGTCGTGCTAGAGAGTTCGACACGCGAAATCTTGAACCCTTCTCAAAACGAGGTGTTTCTGAAACGTGATCATGGCTGACGCTCAAGGGCTTATCTAAGGTAAATAACGGTCGAGGATTCCTTGACCATGGTACTGTGTGAGAATAGTGTCGAGAGTGAATGTGCGCGCGGGAGAATGTGACGAAACAGACAAAAATCCTCGACGAATCCTCAACCGATTTTCGCCCCGGGCTCACGCCGTGACGTTAAGTGTGTCCTTCTTCATCTATTCTGTACCTTGCTGAGAACACTATTCCTGCACGATTTCCATGCGCAATTTTCTGGGTGGGAAAACACTGTTGTGGATCATTTTCACCCTTACGAACATCTGACCTGCATGTAGTCGGTGTCTGCGATGTCGTCGATCAACCACTGTTTACAGTTGTGCTTCCTCAACGAGAACTCGAGATATGGCTCAGAATTGTATTGCACAAGTGAAACCTGAATGAGTATAGCTGGGAAATGCCTCTGCTAAAATCTCTCAGAAAGGGATAAATTCTCACCTGGGTACCGTTGGGTCCAATATTTCGGAATTGTGAAACGGTGTCGAGGATGAGCTGAATGGCATGCATGAATTTGTGCTCGTTGAACGAATTTGACGAGTCCAACAGGAACAAAACGTCGGTTCGATTCGTGTCCGAAGGATCGTTGGGAGTAGGACATGATTCTTAAATGCATAATATACGGCTTAAATATGAATGAGAACTCTTCCTGTACTCATTGAAGTCTACCTTTTGGCATGAAGAACGTGTCGGGAACCGGCTGCACTTTTTCGGTATCTGGGGAGAAGGTTGTCTAAACTTTTTGAAAATTTAATGCACTGCTGAAAAATGAGAGATGACACCAAGAAACACTGTG